GGTACCATTGTAACACAACCCAGTGTTACAGTATCCCTCTTACATTTGCATTTAAATACAGTAAATGGATTGTACAACAGTTTCTGTGCCTTAACCTACAACACATTCACCACAGTATGAAACAGTATAACCAGCAGATGTTTTCATGGTCAATGTCTTGATAATGTAAACCTTCAGGAGGAGCCTTAGAAAACAGTAGAAAGAAGGAGAAAACAGCAAAAAAATCTGATTAAGAAAAGAGCGTCAACAAAAAACTAAGTACTTCAGGGATGTTTTTTTGCTTCTTAATATGTAATGTTAACATCATTTCACAGTGGTGTCAACATTTGCTCAGAGTATTACTTTTTGTTTATTTTGTCGCTACATAGAATTACTTTTTAGGGACCAAAAAGAAACCGCTGTTTTTGGGTGAAAACCAGAGCCAGACCCCAGCGGGAATAATAAAGAGAGATTAACATATGGATGTGGATTAGTAAAAAAAATAAATAAAAAAATGTAGCAACTGCCAGGAGAAAGAGAACATTGGCAAAGCAGGTGATCTTTAATCCTTCTTAAAATGCATCCGTTCTCAGGGATGTGACAACCTGCGTCCTCAAACCTCCTCCAGACATGGTTTTAGAGTCAAATATGTGGATTCAATTTCAGGGCCACGACAAATTATTATTATTTTCACATTTGCACCGTGAAATGTTCAGGTACAGGTAATTGGATCTCTTGGTGGAGACAACAGCGTGTAGCCCGGCCTCATAGTTACAAGATCGGGCTTTTGATTGAAGGATCGCCGGTTAATACCTGTGGACTCCCCCTCAGCCCCCCCCCCCGCTCTCTGGACACGATTAAAACTGCAGCCACCTGCTTGCGTGTCATGTTATTATGCCTGACTGTATGTCCAATTATCTCTCCATCTAGTTTTTGTGGCGATAATTGTAACTTTCAGATGCTTTAATACAGTGGTTTTCAATGTAGGGGGCGCTAGAGGGGCCCCTCTATCTCTCTCTATATATGTTTGTTTGTTTTTAACCGCTTGTCCTGATCCATACAACACGTAAACACTCGTGATCAGTTTGCACCTGTTATCGAGCTGCTCGAGCTAGCTCATAGTTAGCTAGCATATATTTTTTAATAATTTTCTTTTAGAAGTTGATGTTTCTGTATATATTTTGTTGAGGTGGGGGTTTTTTGGTGAAATCTTTGTAGGGGCCACACGATGACCTGAAGTGACTTTAGTCATGACTTAGTGGTGTTTCATCTACAACGACTAACGGCTCCTGATTGTACTTTAATATTAAATCAAAGCCGGTTACGCTGATGACTTCATGCAATATTTCGTCATTACACCAACGATGCTTTCCTACCTGGAAGATCACAACCTCATCAGAGCCCCAGTGGTCATCTGTGATAACACAGGAATAATTGTTACTTTTAGAGGTTTATCACATCACAGTTTAACACTGCAGACGTGATGAGGCCGTGGGAGGGTAATTGGCACCAACCATTGGTAATAAGAAGCACACTGTGTTATGAGGCACTTACTGGGGTTGTCTGTGACTTCTTTGGAGAGAGGGAGAGAGAGACAGACAGACAGAGAGAGAGAGAGAAATCTGTGATTACAAGATAAAAAGTCATTACTATTGTTGCCCAGAAGATTCCCTCCCAAACTGGGGCAGTGGGAAATGTAGGATTTCTTGAGCGTATTCCTCAGAGGTCCCATAGAAATTAGATTTTTTTAATTTCACATACGGTATGTTTCACTGGGTAAACTCAGAGGCAGGAGAGTGTGTCAGGGAGAGCTTCTAATTGGTGCCAGGCTTTGATATGTAAAATTAAACTTATTTTTTTATATGTATAAAGGAAGACAAAAATAACTGAGGCTAGAAAATCATAAAAATATCACCTGATCATCATCCTTGTCTGTTGATAAAAATAAAGCATTTGTACCGGTCCTGGTAACCAATGGTAACATCAACCATCACATGACGTAATCTGTCATTTCACAGCCTGGGATCAATAAAGTATATTTATTTATAATAGATATTTGAACTTAGCCAGTGATTGGCTAGTAATAATAATAATAATAATAATAATAATAATAATAATAATAATAATAATAATAATAATAATAATAATAATAATAATAATAATAATAATAATAATAATAATAATAATAATAATAATAATAATAATAATAATAATAATAATAATAATAATAATAATAATAATAATAATAATAATAATAATAATAATAATAATAATAATAATAATAATAATAATAATAATAATAATAATAATATTAATAATAATAATAATAATAATAATAACAATAATAATAATAATAAAACTACTTGATGAGTACAGACATCTACTCTTGTGAGTGGGGTATATTGGTATTTGCAAATACTGCAGTACAATGTTACTCTTGTGAGTGGGGTATATATCGGTATTTGCAAATACTGCAGTACAATGTCATTCTTACCCAGAAGGTGAGGAATATTTTTTGAAATAAATTATTAAAATCACAAACACTTACATACAGTGTTAGCCAAAAGATACAAGCACGACAAGATGAACAGAAAAGAACAAACCAAGAAAATAAAAAAATAGAATCCGACCCGGCCTGATACCGTTATGTGATCATTCCACTGTGATACTGTGAGGATGTATTTCTCCGTGCCCACACTTGGCATTAAATAAATGACTTTATTCTGCTGCTCTCTTCACACTTTCATCTCTTTTCTATCTGCTTCTTTTTTTTCAGAACCATCATGAATGGCAACCTGCGGGTGATCCAGGCTCGAGCGTTTGCTCAAAACCCACACCTACGCTACATGTGAGTAAATACTCTATCTCCGACAGCCATGTTTCCCATGCCTTCAAGAAATATTTACACTGTTGCGTAAGGCCTGGCAGTTTATAACATGTGGCTGCAGATAAGTCAGTTTTGAGCGGAAGATGAAGTCGCTGATAGAGACCGACGTTGGGGAAAAACGGTGACCGTGTCATTTCTGTAGCGAGGGCTGCACATCTCAAATGAGACATCACACGTTTCTCTGGGATAATTGTATTCCTATCTGCCTCTCCCCGTTTTTGTGTGAGTCAGTCAAGCAACATACAGAAGATGCAGTTCCATTTAGTCTGCACTCGCTAAATGGACAATTTGTCCGGGAGGCCTGGCATCAGAGAGCTCGGCGAAGTAATTTCTTTAACAAAGGCTGATGTGACACCTTATGACAGCCTGTGATTCCTCAATTTTCCAGCAGTAAATGTGGCGGGGGACTCAGTCACACTCTCACCTCCACACACCACCCTGTGCAATTTCCAGTTGTCAACCGAGCTGCAGTTTATTCTCTCTCTTTTTTTTTTTTCTCTCCCTGAAAATGACTGCTGTGTGTCTGAAACCTTTGCACCTTTTACCGTCTGTTGTTGTCATAGACACAGTGTCCATAGAACAGGTGTGGGGGAACTGTTTGACTTGCAGGACACAATGGGTCCTAAAATTGGACAGGGTCAAGGGGCAGATCGATGGTGCGTTCGTGTGAATTAAGATCAGTGACATGTAAAAGTATATTAGCATCAAGGCTAAAAACAATTGCTTTTAACCTTTTCTACACCATCTAGTGGTGAAATTAAGGCATTAATAACATAATTTGGACATGTTTGGCGGGCCGGGTTAAAAAGCCAAATGGGCCGTAACAGGCCCCCGGTTCGTAGTTTGCCCATATCTGCTCCGTAGTACATGTAATTGCTGTCTGAGAAATGTTTTTTTTTTTCAGAGAACAGTGACATTCACTGATTGTCACGTGTACGTTGCGGCAGCACGTGGTCACAGATGGCGCTGTGCTCACGTGCTGGGATTAAGGTGATATTGCTTGTCTGTTTACCCAGTCAGGTGATTGGTGAAGCTGATGGAGCTCATCAATATTTAATGGAGTTATTTAACTGGTGCCTCCACTTTAATTTTCTGCATCCAGAAGATGGATCTGCTATCACCAGACCTAAAACAAACAAATGATTACGCCTCGTACATGTGCCGCCCTCGCTCTCACTAAACACACAGCCATCAGACACTGGTGACTGGGATGTGCTGGCAGATCACTGTAATCACTGCGGGGACACAACATGTGTCATTAGAAAATTATGAGATGAGGGTATGATAAATGGCACATGACCCGAGGCGATCGCTCATCTGACGAGCTCTGCTTTGTGGCCGGGGCAGTTCAGATCAATAATGGCAGAAAAATACTGCCAACAACGGCTTTAATGCCTTTGATGCCCAGCAGTGACGAGGTGAGAATAATGGACGCTCGGATTTTCCCTCAGGTTAAGTGAGTTTCACTGATGTTGTTTGAAGCTGCACGATCGACCCCTCTTTGGATATAAACACATATTAGTGTGAATGATCGGAATAAAGTACCTGCTCCTGATGCTGGACCGTGATCAACCGGGTCTGAGGTGTTTGGAAAATTCAATTAATGAGGCAGGAACTATATGAGCAGAAAAAAAAAAAAAGATTTTCAGAACTTGCGTAATATTGTAGAATAGAATAGAATAGAATGGGATAAGAGTTGGGGTAAGTAGAAAAAAATTAGAATAAATGTGTAGAATACAGTAGAATAGAGGAGAGTAGAGTAAAGTAGTGTGTACTGGAACAGAACGGATAAGTAGAAAAAAATTAGAATAAACGTGGAGAATACAGTAGAATAGAGGAGAGTAAAGTAGTGTGTACTGGAACAGAACAGAACAGAACAGAACAGAACAAACCAGAACAGATCAGATCAGATCAGATCAATAATTCCAGAACAGTTCTCAGCGTTGACGTTCTCCAGATTTGTCCCTGGTGAAGTCACAGTCACAGTGAGACATTGACAGTTACATTTGGACACAGGACGTCCAACCTTTGTTATTCCATGTTATGGCACTTGCCCATATGTTGGAATGTAGTTGCCCCTCCCACCACCACCCCCCCCCAAGGGGGTGATGATGTCAATGCAGATTGATTATAATGGCCAGGTTTAGTGGCTAAAGGTTGACCTTAATGCTGACCTTATCGATGTCCTGGTCAGTGGGGTCTCCTGAAGGCTTGACACATCAGAAGCTCCTCAGGCGTCCACAGATTAAATGACAGTCAACAGCCCCCTGATCCCAGGGGCAGCAGACCTGATGGGGGTAATTAACAGCAGCCTCTGGCTGAACTGGCTTCTCAATTATTCATATTTTTTTGAATCTGTGTAGAAATTAAAACAACACAAGTGGTCTGTTGGTTCAGATGACGGCTGACGACAGAGGGCCTCAAGCTGTTTTAGAGAAGACGATGATAGACTAGAATGTTCTTTACCAAGTTCCTCACAGTGAGACGATTCAGATGTAGTTTTGACTTGTCGTGTTTCGACTGTGAGCTCTGGACTTCACTACAAGTGTCACTTGACACTGGTTTGTTGTTAAGACGACATGAACCCAGTGGAACCATAGAATGGAATAAAATAGAATAGAATAGAATGGAGTGGCGGCTGAGGTAGAGTTCATTCATTTCTATGTTATTTTATTCCATATTGACTCACGTTCACGGACCTTGTCAGACAGACCCAGCCTCTGCCTCTGACACTGATGGCTTAGTGTTGCAGGAAGTATTGCTGCCAGCAGGGGCACAAGTAGATTTAGGCAGCTTATCTACTGCCTGCCCTTTTTTTTTTACAGCTTAAGGTTATGTTTCCTAAGAGACTGTCTTCTCTTTATCCCTCTGTAACATGTGACTCAAAATAAGTCCAAATAACTCAGTAAACCTCTTTTCATGGTTCACTGGAATCTTTTTTTTTCTCTCTCCAATTCCTGAAGTTCAAAAAAATAATTTGCCTCTTGAAATCAACATAGATTTTGTATTTTTGGTCGCTGGCTAATTAAAATCATTGATCAATTGATCTATTCATTGAACTAAACCCCCTCAGGGGGAAATTTTGGCTTAACTTGTCAAAAATAAGTTTTACCTGCAGTTAAAAAACAAAAAAGGAAAACAGGCACAGGGAAATCAAAAAACAAAACACATAAAATAAATAAATGATGTTTTTTTTAGCTCTGTTTGTTTTCCTAGCAGGTCCTTTGAAAGCATCAGAGCCGTTATTACGAGGTGACCTCGGAGGGCCCACAACATTTTGTTGGGAGCCCAAAATAAACCTAATTACAGGATACCACAGCCTGGGAGAGTAATCCAGTCCGATCAGCCGAGTGTTGGTGCATAACACAGCTGCAGGGATGTATTTCATGCAGCAGTCACTGTGTCAATATTCCTGAACCCTGCTGGGTCTTCAACCAGACATGAAACAAATACCATCAGATCAGTGGATCACGGTAGAGGAGAGATGATGGATCAATAAAGAACAAAGCCTCAGGTGATTAATCCTCCACCTGTATTATATATGTGTAACATTCATTCATTCATGGGCGTTGTCAAAATGGGACGACCACATGCTTCAGTTCGTAAAATCAATGGGATTCTACGTTTTAACATGTTTAACACAAAGGTAGAATAATGGACTCACAGACAAACCGACTACAGACTTCAGTCTACAATTTGCTGTTATGACATTATACAGAAAGAAATATTTTTTTGCATATTTGGTCATGATTAATCTACAGATACCCTGTGATTATTGTCAAAATGGACGTGACGACCACATGCTTCAGTAAAATCAATGGGATTCTACGTTTTAACATGTTTAACACAAAGGTAGAATAATGGACTCACAGACAAACCGACTACAGACTTCAGTCTACAATTTGCTGTTATGACATTATACAGAAAGAAATATTTTTTTGCATATTTGGTCATGATTAATCTACAGATACCCTGTGATTATTCAGATTTGAAATTTCAGTCTCCCGACAGCCCTAATAAATTCCCGTCTCAAATACTGGGGCGACACATTTCTTCCGACTGTAGTTTAAATGTGATGCCGAGGGCGTCGTGCTGTAACGGAGCTAATATTGAGCGGTTATGGCTCCGTGTTACGGTGAAGCAGACTGCACCTAAAACGCTACAAGCTGAGGGTCAGGAGTCAGCGCACATGGTCAATGATCCATACATGATACCACAGAGATGATGGATGGCGGCGTTGGGACCGTGTGGGAGTTCTAATGGAAAAGGACACTTTATTTATACAGTACATGTCACATGACAGCAGGATGATTTCTACTTACATTAGTAAAATCATAAAATCCTGACCCCGGTCCCTGAGCGTCTCCACTGTTGTGTCATAAATAAAATAATAAAACAGATCAGTCACAGAGGCGTGGATCCTCTGACATCTGTACTGTACGCTGTAGTGCGAGGGTCTCAGACTGAGGTGAGTCAAAGCCCACCACTACACCAACAACACCAACAACACCAACGTAAAGTCATGCATAGAAAAGATAGAAAAGATATTTTTGATAATTGATTTGCAAAGTCATGCGTAGAAAAGATATTTTTGATAATTGATTTTAAGTTAAATGTTTAATATAACAGTGCCGTAAATGACTGACTAAAACATGGAATGATATGAAAAAATGTAGCTCTGATTTTCTAAGCAAACACAGAGCAGCATTTTTAGCTTTAATTAACATAGCAAACGTTGGAATCCATGGTAATTCTGGACGGTCATCACAATTATCCAACATATTTTTGCCTTATAAATGACCTTCATGTTTAATTCTGAACGGTGTTAACATTTCTTTAACCTTTTGAAATTAAATTCACCCAAACACCCTAACCAATGGTTACGCCCAAGACTTGAATTTTTCTTTCTTTCTTTTTTTTTTTAGTTTGAAAAGTGGACTAGCCTTTAAAGAAGAACATTC